CCTGGGGCCCCCACCACAGCAACTAATGATGAAGTGAAATAAAACTGTCAGGACAATAAGGGCGACAATGACGTAGAACCGATAGGCCACCGAAGTGAAGGGAAAAGTGTGCATTAACTTTGGCGGTGGGTACAACATGTAGTTCAAATTTAGCCCACTCACATACGAATACAACGTGTATGGTCCAACATTGACCAACACCGCCACCGACGTCACGTGCAGCAGACGCTTTGAAGTCATGGGCAACAACTCATAGCGCGCGGCAAAGTAGAACGGTAAGAGTAACAAGAGTGCGTGGTGCACAACAAAGACGTACCCCTCAATAGGGTATTGGTGATCTCCAAAGTCAGGTGATGCCGCTGCCGCTGTCGGACCCCAGTGATAGTCCGCAGCAAGGGAGGCGAGATAGACATTCAATTCGTACCTCTCCCGCCCGCCGCGCATCAACACAGCAGCCCAGAGCAAGGTGAGGAGGTGGCAGGGCATTAGCAACCAGCCCAGCTGTACAAACGGATGCGGCCGAGTCGCCTTGAAGAGCACTTGGCACATCCAGCACACCAACAGGACTACTGCCAGCAGTTGATTCACTCGGCTCTTGGTCGAGCGGTCACGCGGTGCACTCTGCAATTGCCGCCACGCCTGGCGGCAGTAACCCCGGCTGGCATAAAAACAGCAGCAAACAAACGCATGCAGGACGACAAACTCAAATATGTGAACCTTTGGAGGACGGTACCAGAAGAGTTCCGTTGCCGCGTTGGGGCCCCACCTCTGCCCAGTGTGGCGGCAGACAGTTAACAGCCAGTCAGCGGCCACCTGAGGCACGAGAGCATCGGCCACGGACACCAGTGAAAGGGAGACCATGCCACCGGTACTTAGCGCTAGATGAACACACCCGAAACACACACCAACAACAGACACAAAAAGAAGAGAAACCAAAAAAAAAAAGAGCCAGCGAAAGAGGGAACTACGATGAGCGTCACACAGGCAATGAGGCAAATGATTGAAAGCATCAACAACAACAAAAATCGGACAGAAAAGAGAGTCGAACAGAAATCCTGCACAGCACTTACCCCGGAAGGAGAATACCTGAACGACCATGTCAAGTAAAGTGTATTCGATTCCTGCTGCTAGTGACGCGTGTCATCGCCACCCGCGTCCCTCTCCAACGCAGCCAACTCCGCCTCGAGACGGGCAATCTCGTCATCGACAGCCTCACTCTCCACCTCTTCCTTTACCCCCACATCCGCAGCTTCAGTAGAAGCCGTAGCAAAACCACTAGCGGCGCTGCTTGCTGCAGCAGGTTCAGCACCATCGGCCGACGGCACTACCAGCCGGTTCGCATTGAGCTCGGCGTTCTCCTCTAGCGGGTAATACATGTTGTCGAGTGGAGACAACTTGTACCAGCTCTGCTCCCCATGCAGGTACCGCTGGTGGTCCCCGTCAATGTGCCAGAAGCCGAGCGCCTCGGCGTGCTCAGCGCCGTACACTGCGCAGTCCTTTCTCCCGACACGCAGGCATGCCTCAAGGAAAAAGAGAAAAGTGTCCTCAGCGAAGCGAATGTTGTTAACGTTGCGGCACTGGTTCAGTAGCTGAAACGCATAGCTGAGGTCGAGGGGCCGCTCGACCAAGTCCAGTGCGGTGTGCAAGTCGTCCACCGTTGGCCTCTCGGTCCCCTGGAATGAGTGAAACCGTCTGTGCCACTCGAGGACGTACTTCTCCAGTGGTGTCTCCGGCCCCTCGAGCCGGTCCTTGCGCAAAAGGTGCCGCTTCTTGCTGAGCCACAGCGGCTGGTTCGCCATGCATTTTGGGCGCGTATAGGGCCTGTCGAGGCCGCCAAGCCACGCCTGGTAAAGCATCTCGGTCCGCTGGTGGTCCGGCTGCTGGATGACGGTGTATATCTTCCAGTTATCCACGTCCTTCAGGAACAGCATCCAGTACGGGCGCCGGTACCGCAACGACGCGAGACGGGGGACGGTGCTGTGAAGCATGATTGTCCGCCAGCGAGCAGGCAGG